CCGTTCCCGTCCCTCCCTCCCTCCCACCTCCTCTTCCTACTCATTCCCGTCGAGGGCTTCACTCCGAGGTTTCTATCTCGGGTTTTCCACCCACCTCGAGGTGTTTTCCTGCTGTGGGGGAACCGCACCGTTCGTCCTGAGAGTCGACCCGTCTGACTTTCGAGCGGGCCGCCGTATCCCCCCTAGGATGGCGATCCGACCCGCGGTGGCACAGATCCCCCCCGCCCCCCCTCAGGGTGTCGCCCCGACCTGCTGTATAGCAGGTCCCCCATCGCCGCCCTGCTGTGGAGTGGGCCCCCCGGTCACCGACCGGATCGCGATCCCTCCTCCCGTGGAGCAGGCCCACATGGCGCCACCAGGGTAGCAAGCCGTCTGACGTTATTATGTAGGAGTCCAGCGTCTGACGTTATTCTGGGGAATCAGCGTCTGACTCTATTCTGTGGGATGCCAGCCCATCCCCTGGCCAGGCGGTGTGACACGCTACACGCCCTCTCACTGGCATGGTATGGCGGAGACAGGAGCTATCGTGAAGCTCCCCCGCCACACCTAACGGTGCCTCCAACGGTCCCCGCACAGGCTCTGGGACCAGAAGGTTGGCGTCACAACCTTCACGAGCACCGTTTTCAAGGATGGGAGAGCCTGCGTGCCCCACCCGATCTGAAAGGGTTATGCCTACCCTCAAGGGCATCAGCAATACACTACAATCCTCCTCCTCCTCCTCCTCCTCCTCCTCCTCCTCCTCCTCCTCCTCCTCTCGTCGTCGTCGACGTCGACGTCGCCGTCGCCGTCGCCACCGTTGTCGTCGCCGTCGCCGTCGTCGTCGTCGTCGTCGCCGTCGCCGCCGTCGTCGTCGTCGCCGTCGTCGTCGTCGTCGTCGTCGTCGTCGTCGTCGTCGTCGTCGTCGTCGTTGCGTCGTCGTCCTCCCCTTCCCCCTCCTCCTCCTCTTCTCCTCCTCCTCTTCTCCTCCTCCTCTTCTCCTCCTCCTCCCCCTCCTCCTCAACATCCACTTCCATGTCCTCCGCCCGCCTTGTCTCCATTCCTCCTTCTTCCTCCTCCTCTTCCTCCTCTCTTCCTCCTCATCCGTCCTGTTCTTCCTCCTCTCCCCGAGGCTCAGAAGTTCATCCGATGCAAGCTCTTTTCAAAAATGCCACGGGGCCTCCTTTAAAATGCTCCGAAGCCCTCCTGCTCAGTTTTTCAAGCGTCTCCCGAAGGCCTTCAGGTTTTCCGCAGGGGCCTCATGCTTCCCTGAAAAGCTCTCAGTGCTTTCCTCGATGCTCTGGAGGCTCTCCAAAGGGCTCCGGGGGTGTTCCCAAAGGTTGTTGGGCATCTCCCTGCGGTCTTAAGCCACGTCGGCGTGGTGTCACCTAGAAGCAAGGCGTGGGCAGGGTGAAGGGAATGTCAGGCCCCCTGTGCATATCATAATGGACGCACGCTGCATGCATAATCGCACATCGCTCGATCACATATTTGTTGTTGCTGCTGCTGTTGTTGCTGTAGTTACTGTCAATGTTCTTGTTGATTTGGTGGTTGATGTTGTTCAACTGTCACCACCGACTAATAAATATTAATGATCCTCCGTCTGGGGCACGTTGTGTTTCTTCAATTCCATTTGCCCTTCTCGGGGCTCGCACCCTGATTTTTTATATCAGGGAACGGAATCGTTGGTCTCAGAATTTTGTCTTTGGCTCCCAATTTACAGCAACAGCAGCTCCCGCCTTGACGGCAACACCACATCGCTCACCCTCTGGATCTTCGCCTCTGGTCCCTGTCCGCGGCCTGCACCCCGGGCCCCGCCCACTCCGGCCGCCTGAGGCCCCGCCTGCCTGTGCCCTGTCTCCCTAATTAAAGCTGTGCGTAGCCCGCCTAGCTTTTAGCGGAAGAGGTTCGCTCTCGCCCCGCCGACCAAAAAGTGTTCCCACACTTCCCTGCTCGATGCACCTCTTAGGCATCGTTGCTGAACGTGCCAGTGAGGATACACGCCGTTCATTTCTAATCGTGCTCATTTCTAATTGTGCTCGTTTGTAATTGTTCCTGGCCCCCTAGTGGCCAGGAAGAGGCCCAGGATAGAACAATTAGAGATGAAAGGATCTTGGCCCCTCCAAAAAAACAAGAACTTTCGAAGAATCGGAAACGAAGAATGTGCACGCGAAGCGTCAACGACTTCTACATATCAGGCCAGAGGCGGAGGCAAGAGGCGGCTGAGGCTGCAGATGCGAAGCAAGACCAACGCGAGGCCAACCTGCATCAGTGCTGGGCGCAGGCGCTCTCCAACTGCAGAAGGTGAGGATGGCCCGAAGGCGCGCGCACAGCGACAGGCCACGACGGGGCGGCGGCAGGGCGTGCCCCAGGACGGGGGCTGCCGGCCGCCGGCCGTGCAGGGACTCGCGCACTGCTGCACGCACAGGGCCAGGCTGCACCCGACCAAGTCGCGCCTAGGGGGCCCGGGAGGGCAAGAAGCAAGGGAGGGAGAGGGAGAGGGAGCGGAGAGGTCGGCAGGATGAGCAATGGTACGACGTCGCTCGCACGGCCGCCCCACCGGCCGCCAGCCGTCGCACACCGTGCCCACCGGGCCAATGCACTTGACGGTAAGTCCTATGGCTGCAGGGGGGGCGGCAGCCCCACTGCGGCGAGACACGCGGGCGACGGACTGGACGCGGTAACGCTGGTGCTGCCGGTCCCAATCGCCGCGCTGCTACAGCCATGATGCTGCTGCTCGCACTCGAGCTGCTCGCAGAAATATGTGCCGCAGTGGTGATGCTGGTCCGCTGTGCGAGTGTGGTGGTGCTGCTCTCGCCCGTGCTGTTCGGAATGGGAATGCACCTCGCGTCACTCGACAATGTAAGGTTACTCGATTCGCTGGTGCTGCTGGTCCCACTCGTATTGTTTGCCGCCCTGCTGAGCGGGAAGGTGGTGGCCCCAGTCGTGCAAGCAAGGTTGCTGCTGCTGCTGCTGCTGCTCTCGCTGATGTCACAGCTGGTTTCGATGGTGCTGCTGCGCGTTGAGCTGTTACTCCCCGTTACGATGGTTGCCCATATACTGAGGAGGCTGAATAAGCTGTTGCGCTCACTCGTACTGTTTGCTGGCGTGCTGGCTGATAAGGTGCTGCTGGTCTCGGTCGTGCTGGTGAAGCTCGTGTTGCGGCGTTCGCGAGCGCTGCGGCTGGTCCCATCGTGTTGGGACCTGTAGTGCTGCTGGGGGCGCTGGTGCTGCTGCTGCGGCTGGAGCTGCGGAATCCCTTCTCACAGGAGACCGCGGCGCTGCTGGGTGTGCTGGCGCTGATGCTTCTTGTGCTGATGGGTCCCGTCGAATTGGAATATCGGGCGGATTTCGGAAACCCTGAGCCCAAAAACGTTTTTATCTCTTGGGGGCGCATCTTTTACTTCCGCCGCATTCCGCCAGCCCTCTGCCGGCTTCCGCCCGCGGAGGCGGCCTCGTTTTACTTCCGCCGACCTTCCGCCCGACGAAGAGACGGCAACTCCTTCGATACTCGAAGGCAAGGCCCTTTTTGGAACGCCTCGGTTGGTGCCGCTGTTTGCGTTCATGCTTCGGCCAGAAGAGCTGTAGATATCTGCCGTGCTGGATATTGTAATGCTGATGGGTACGTTGGCGCTGCTGCCAGTGGGACTGCCACTCTCCGTCGTTCGAGGAACAACGGTGCTGCTGGGTACCCTAGAGCTGGCACGAACAGGGCTGCTGGATCCTGTCATGCTGGAAGATGTGGCGCTGCCGGCTGCGAGGGTGCTGCCGATGAAACTGTTGAGCACAGTCGTGCCGCTGGAGATTGAGGCGAGGCTGGGTGCGCTGGTGGCGCGGCCAGCAGCACTGCGCGCCCGTAATGTGCTGGGAACTGCTCCACTTCCGACCTCGAGCTCAGTCTGGCGTTGCGGCCTTGGCCACCGGCATGCTGTGCAAACACCCGGCCCGCGCCGCACTGCCGGCTTCGCTCGTGGATGGCCGCGTCGCGCCGCTGCTAGGTGACGTGGTGCTCGGGGCGCTGCGCGGGCGTTTTGATACCGCACGCATCCTAGGCTGCGTGCTGCATGGTGACGTGGCGCACATCGCACTGCGCGTGCCTCTCGTGGATGTTGGCGTCGTTATGCTACCCTTGTCGTGCCGCTGGAACTCGAGGTGCTGCTCCGAGAGGTGATGCTCGCCAGGGTATTCGTCTCACTCACGGATGTTCGAGCCATGGTGCTGCTCGGTGTCGCAAGGCTGAGCGCGCTGCTCTTGCCACTCATGGATGTCAGAACCCTGATGATGTCCAGCGTCGTGGTGCCGGGAAGGGTGGCTTGGAGACGTGAGGCACGTCGCACTGTTCGACTCACACGTGGATGTTCGTGTCGTGCCGCGGCATGGATGCATGGCGCTCGTTGCAATGCTCGTGCCCCTCGTGATGGGTCAGCGGCGTGTCGCTGGTCCTGCAGACAGTGACATCGTCGAGCTGGTCGCTCACGAACTCCCACTGCAGCTTTCGCAATAGTTTAGGATCGGTAGTTTACTCCCGTCGTTCAGGATGGCGTTCTCGCCCCAGCAGGGGCCACCTTTTTGGATTTCCTCGCTTGCCGTCCCCTGATTTCCCCTCCTCCCTGTTTTCTTGGTTCTTTTGCTCCTCGTGCTTATCCTGCTCTTGCTCAACCTCCTCCCCATCATCCAATGTACAGAAACCCACCTGTACAACTGCGCAGCAAGCGATGGGTCAGATCCTGCAACTACCATGTGGTTATCAAGGTCCCTTATGACCCCCCAGTCGGAGGATAGAAGAGGATTTAACACAATCGAATGAGATGGGTTGCAGAGTCGGGTGTCAGATGTGTCTGTCTACCCCCACCTCTCCCCTCTTATCTCCTCTCCGTGCCCCCCCCCGCTCCTCTCTCCTCCTCCTCCTCCCCACCCCTTCTCACACTCTCCCATCCCACTCCTCCCTGCCTCCCTCTTCACATTCGCTGCCAATCCTGTCGCCCCCATCCTCTCCACGAGGCCACGCTCTCTCAACGGGGCGCCCTTGCTCTTCAGCGGGGCGTGCAAGCTGGGGTCGAAAAACGCCGTGTCCACGGCCTCTGAGGCGGGGCGGTACCTCCTGATCCTTCTCCTCCTGGCGCTGGCGCGGGCGGCCCCAAGTTGTCTGGAGAAATGTGGCCGTGCTCCACCAACCGGTCGGGTGGAAAGGGGCTCGAGGAGGGACATCGGCCCGCTTGGGGCCGGGCGATTACGGACTCCTCCTCCTCATCCTCCTCCTCCTCCTCCTACTCTTCTTCTTCCTCCTCCTCCTCTTCTTCCTACTCCTCGCCCTCCTCCTCCTCCTCCTCCTCCTCCTCCTCCTCCTCCTCCTCCAGCATGAGAGAGAGAGAGAGAGAGAGACTGCGGAGGAGTTAGGCAGGGGACCAACTCCTCCTCCTCCTCCTCCTCCTCCTCCTCCTCCTCCTCCTCCTCCTCTTGGGGATGCGCGCCAGCCCTCGGCCCCGGAGACCCGGAGTGGGGGGGGCCCTCCGCGTCCCCCGGCGCTCCGGCGGGGCGGGGCCAGCGCCCCCCCCCCCCGGGCCCGCGGCGGGCGCTCAGGTCCGCCCCCCCTGCCTGTCGCCGCTGGCACTGCGGGGCTGGTGGATGCGTCCTCCTCCTCCTCCTCCTCCTCCTCTTCCTCCTCCTCCTCCTCCTCCTCCTCCTCCTCCTCCTCCTCCTCCCCTCCTTCTCCTCCTCCTCCTCCTCCTCATCCTCCTCCTCCGCCTCCTCCATGTTCTTCTCCTTATCCTTCTCCTTCTCCTCCTCCTCCTCCTCCTCCTCCTCCTCCTTGAACCCCCGACCACCAGACCACCAGCTGCGTCCTCGCGAGGCTCGTCGGGGCGACTGAGGGGGCGGGCCTGCGCCTCACTCCGCGGGTCGGCGGCGGGCGCTCGGGTCTGCCCCCCTGCCCGCCGCCGCTGGCGCTGCGGGGTCCGGGGATGCTTCGCCCAGCCCTTCTGCGGCAAGTCGTGGAGGCCTGCAGTACCATCTCGCTGGCTCTTGCGAATCGACGCTGATTTGACGCTAAATTGACGCTATGTCGGCGCTTCCTCATCGACTGCCAGAAGCGGGCGCACGCTGGTGCGCCCTGAAGACGCAACTGCGAGTAGCAACGGCCCCCATGATCTGCTGCCGAACATAGTTCATTGTGGACATTGGGCCCTGGACCCACGATCGGGCACGAGGGAGCGCACCTCGCCCAGGGGTCCGCGGCGGGACTGGGGGCGTCCCCCCCCGCAACCGAGTCTGCGGGACAGCATGTTGCGAGGGCCAGCCCTACAGTCGGGGCGCTGACCTAAGGAACCCTAAAAAAGGAACGAGGCCCCTTTTCTCCAGAAGTTGAACTTCGATTTCCCTTCGAAGACCTAAGGAAAACGTGGGGCAAGCTGTGAAACAAGTAAGGAACGCGGAGCCCCTCCCCAACCAACAGGGTTCCTTCTTCAGCGCCCCGGCTGTACAGCATGTAGCGAGGACCGACCGAACACCCCCCCCCGACTCACGGCGGGCGCACGCAGCACCCGCGCTGGGGGGGCCCACCGCACAGGAGGCCCCAGGCCAGCGGTGGGCGCAGACAGTGCCCACAGCCCCTCCGCTCTGGGCGGGGGGGGGGCGCCGGGGGCAGGCCCAGAACGGACCCAGGTCGGGCCCGGGGTCGGATCTGGGCCGGGCGGGCCCATTTTCGGACCTGGGTCGCACCCACGTCGGAACTGGGTCGGACCTGGGTCCGACCCAGGTCGGACCCCAGTCGGACCTGAGCCGGACCTTCGTCGGAAAGGGGCGTCGGCGGGGGGGGGGGCAACGGGGACAACGGGGAGGGAGCAGGGGGCAGGGACACAGGGGCATGGGGGGGGGGCGGGCGCGCAGCTGACAAAAGGGGGGAGAGCTCAGGAGCGGGAGCGGGTCGCGGGAGCGGAGGAGGACGCCTGCACTTCGCAGCGGCAGGTATCGGGGGCTGGCGCGGGAGCAGGGTCGGGAACAGGGTCGGGGCAGGGCGAGGAGAACGATGGCGTGGACAGAGGCCTCGAGGGCCCCGCTGGTGAGCCTCCCCCCTCGCGGCACGGGCCTCGGGAATCACCACGATCTTCCTCCTCTCGACGCCGCTGGAGGCGAACTGCTCCACCGCGAAGGCCGACGGGACCCAGACCGCGTCCATGGCGTTGATGCGGGGTACCCAGGCCTCGGGCAAGCGGTCGGTCTCGTACATGGCCCGTCCGATGCTGAATCTCGTGTTGAGCGGCGGGCATGGCTCCACGGAGCCCCAGCCGAAGGCCCCGTCCTCCAGCCAGACGTCGGGCGTCGCGTGGCAGACTGCTACGTCCCACTGTCCGACGCCCTGGCCCATGGTCAGCAGGCTCTGCACGGTCTCCTTCGTGCCGTTTGGCAGGCCGAGCACGAACTGGTAGTCGGGCTGCTCGGCGAACTGCCGCATGCCGAACGAGGGCGCCCCCTCCTGCCTGGCGAACGCGGCCTGCAGCGCTGGAGCGTAGGCGAGGGCCTCGCTGG